TGTAACAGGTCTTGCAGAGCAACTGTTCCCCACCTCCCTTATGACCTGGCGAAATAGGATGGCTGTTGATTTGTTGTTAGCTGAAAGAGGTGGCGTATGTTTCATGTTCGGAGATGCCTCTTGTACTTTCATCCCAAACAACACAGCACCCGATGGGTCTATCTCCAGAGCCATTGCTGCCTTAGAATCCCTCACTAAAGAATGGACACAGAATTCCAGCGTTGCCCATCCCTTTGATTGGTTCTCCATGAAGACATTTTTTCATAATTGGAGAGGTGTTATTCTCTCTCTGCTGTTGCTCTGTGTCTGATTATCTTTGCCCTATGTGGCTGTTGTTTAATCCCTTGTGTATGAGGCCTCATCACCCATACAATTGATGCAGGTGTTACTAAGTCCATGCTCTCATATCAGTCCATACTCTTCTCCGTTGCAGACACTCCTGACTTGTTCCCAGTTCCTGACTATTGCGACCCTAACTGCTCCGATGGCTCTGACTCTGACACGTATATAAATGTTTTAGCTGTTTTCAGAATTATTGCACTCCCCGTGCTTGCCACATCCACATTGATGCTTTCATCATCCAAAACCAGCTACTGCTAAACTTATTTTCAGATGTCACCTCAGAGTTTGTGTGAATTTTTGATGATGATCCTCTTGTTGATACTGATCTTTGCAGTAGCAAACTTCTTCTTTCACACAGAAGCAAAAGCCGACAGCTTCCTGTTTCAACTAGATGACAGGTGGCTTCAGTTTTTCATGCTATTACTCAAAAACAGTTGTCTATTATGTTTCCTGTTTACCTGACTGTATAAAACCTTCTTCTTTCCCTATTCGGAGTTGTTCCACTCTGAACATTCATGCTGAGTGTGAAACCCTCTGCAGAGCCCCATTAAAGACCTAAAGACAACTCCGGTCTGAGAAACTCTTTATTTCACATCTCGAGATACATTTCCACCACTTGTCTTTAAGACAGTTTTGAAATCAAATAAAATGGTTCAGTTCGTCTGGCTTCATAGATAGATATAGAGTATTGGACCAAGAACCGAACCTTGTGGAACTCCGTGATTAACTTTAGTGTATGATGAGTATTCATCATTAACACTAACAAAGTGGAATCTATTTGATGAATAAGAACTAAACCAGCTTAATGCTGTCCCTCCAATCCCAACCTCTTGCTCTAATCTTTGAAGGAGAATGTTATGGTCAGTGGTGTCAAATGCTGCACTGAGATCTAACATAACCAGCATGGAGACAAGTCCCTGGTCAGAGGCTGGGAGAATATCATTTGAAACTTTCAAAAGTACTGACTCTGTACTATGGTGCATTCTAAATCCAGACTGATAGGCCTCCTGCAGATCATTTCTCTGGAGGTGATCGAGCAGTTGATTTACAACGGCTCTTTCTAAAAGTTTAGAAGTAAATGGGAGGTTTGATATAGGTCTGGAATTAATTAAGATACCTGCATCTAAACTAGGCTTCTTTAGCAGAGGCTTAATTACTGCTAGTTTAAAAGCCTGTGGTACATAGCCAGTTAATAAAGAGCTATTGATAAAATTCAATACAGTGCTGCCGACTTCTAAGAAAGCCTCTTTAAAGAGCTGAGTAGGGATGGGGTCCAGCAAGCAGGTTGAAGTTTTAGAGGATGAGACTATTGAAGATAACTGTGAAAGGGTTATTTGGGAGAACTGATCCAACCGTGAGTCTAGGTCTACACGTTTTTCATAGGTGATAGTTTTTGACAGAGTTTTTGGGGAGTAAAGGTGAATTTTCTCTCTGATAGTTTCAATTTTATCAGTGAAGAAGTGAATAAAATCATTGCTGCTCAATGACAATGGGATTGTTGGTTCAATGGAGCTGTGGTCATGTCATATTTATTAATATATTTCAGCTCATTCTTCTTCGTGATGATTTCCACTGTCCATTTCAGAATATTTTACAGTAGAATTAAAAAATAATATTTAATATGAGCAAGTTTTGAGTGCCCTGATGAGCACTAACTTTGATTTTCTCAAAATGTTTACAGTAAAATCTTCTGAAACCTGATCCATGCCCTGGCCTCGTCGGGCCCCAGTACTATAAATAAATATACTACTATAATTCAGATGCTCCCAAAAGGTTTTGCTTTATTTTTGTTTGAGGCCCAAAGACATAAAATAATCTGTAATTTCTCTTTTCTCCTCAACTAAGACATCAAACATCGACAACACAAAGAGTGTGGTTCTTTTCTCAGACTGTGGTGTAAGAARTGATGCTCTGCCTCTTGTTGTTGACAGAATTGATAGGATCTGCCCCAATGTCCACACTTGCAGTGTTAGTGAGTAATCCACTGCCCAGAAGACCACACACTGGCGTCACAGCACGCAAATACAAATAMTCTGCAACTTGTCTCTTTGTGATATTTTGTGTCMYTTTATGGTTATTTTGTGTGTCTGCAGGTTCAGTAGTTTCTCTTTGTAATTTTTAGCCGTATGCTAATGGCCATAAGTATTTTGCTTCAGTAGATGAAGAGAAGTTATCAGGCTCATGCCCAAGCCTTTCTATCTCGACTAACAGTCCTCTACACACATAATACTCTATGTTAAATGCCGCAATATACTAAGTACCACAATATATAATATGCAATCACTGCATRTAAGACGTATGTAGTAATTCATCCATATAATGTTTTGCAAGTTAAGAGACCAATTTCTCAGAAATCCTGATGTGGAAATAAGCCTGATGTGGCAAAACAGATTACTACATCTATTTTTGAAAGATAATCAAATTTCTGGTTGACTGATTTTAAAAAGTAGTCTGTGTAAGTTCAACAGTTTAACTTGATATTAACTGATCTGGGAGCTGCTCAGTTCAAAACTGAAAATCCTCCACAGATAGTTTTCTTTCATTTGAACAATTGTAACATAGGGACGAATAAAATACATAAAGAATTGGACAACAATTATCCAATGTAATGCATCACTGAATTTTTAGCACCTGTTAATTTCCAATGTTAATCCCTGGAAGGCAACAATTTTCAATATTTATAATTAGATGTGCACTTTACCAATTACACTAAAAGTTGAACAATAAAAACAACTATTGTTTAATGAATTACTGGTAATAATGAATCACTCTTAATTTGCTGCTTAATGTGAGCTGTTATATGTCATCACTTGAAGTTAAGTTGCATTTCTGTGCTTAAAGACATTTTAATTAACATATTTTTTAGATAAAGGTATATTAGTCTATATATTGTTTTCCTACAATGAAGATGTTGTGCTTGATAAGATTGKGAAAGATGGGCTTAATAAATTGTGACATCTGGCTGATGACATAAAGTTGTGTAATTGTGTTGCTGGTTCCTCTTTGTTCACCTGGAAGTCGTTGTTTGGCGGTGGCTATAAAGAGTGTGTGTTTCACAGCTGCATCAGACTCTGCAGTTTATCAGCCATGGACAAAAGGTTACTGCTGGCCGTGTTGTGTCTGCAGGTTTTCCTGCTCATCACGACCTTCACTTCCACTGATGCAGCCGCTGTGGTGACAGATGATSGCAGACAGTTTCTTGATGAGGTAAGATGATGGACGAGGAGCTTTTCTAGTTTTGTAAGAAGGTCCATGATTTATATGGTGTTTTCTCATCAGACTGTTGAAAGAAGAGAGAGAGAGAGAGAGAAATTGCAGTGATTTACTTTTTTTTAAATGTCACTCAGAAGAGCACACAACTCTGCCAAAGCCAAACAATCCCACATGTCTGTCTATCCCTTAGAAATAAAAATTTAATGAAAAGCGAGTAGTCAGATAATCTACAACAAATTTTACAAAGTCATAGATTTCAACACCATGAATACGTCTTCGTTAAGATTMATTTCCTGGGAAAGTGTTTTTACAACATCTGCACTAAAGATACACTGGCTGAGGTGATTGGGAGATTACCAATTTGAAAAATGAAGCTCAGATAAAAGAAATTATTTTCTGTGAATGATAACACTTGATTTCTTCTCTTTTTGTTACAGAGAGGACTGGCAAAAAGAGGGACGCCGAAAAGAGTCAAGTCAAGATTTGGGAATCTTAGACGATGTTGGTTGTTTCCAGGAGCATGTGGCATTTTGCCAAGGGTAAACTTCTTTCCTGTATTTTGTGCAATATATTCAGAAGCTACATTTGGATGAGAAGGTTAATTTCAACTGACGCAGTGGTTTGTTGTTGGATAAATGATWGTGCATCTCTTTCTCTCCTGCTGTTTAGCCCGGTCCTAAAGATAAGCYGGAAGAGGTCAAACGTCCTACAGAGAAACTTCAGTGATCAGGGTGATGGAAACCAGATCAATCAACAGAGATTTCAAACAAGCTTTTCAGTAACTGCCACGCTATGAAATCTTTATTACTAATCTTCAGTCTCACAGCAAAAAAACTTTAAAATAAAAAAATTCAATCAGATATTGATATGTGTGGTTTTCTGTTTGACACAGTTGTTGGACTCCGTCAATCACAGACGCAGTGTTTGATGATTTGAAGTTAAAAGCATTTTAGCTTCTWCTAACAGATGCTAAGTTTTTTCTAAGTRGAGACTTTGAATAATCCAAAGTTAAAGAAAAACAATAAGGTCAATAAGTGTAATATTAGAGGGAGCTGTCCTGTACAATACTAAACTACATCCTACATTTTGCATTATACACATTTAATTGACCTGTGGGGATTTTTTTTTCTATTCCTGAATTGTTTCTATGTCAATTATTAAAACAGTTTGACATCATCTAATTAAAACAACATATTTTAGTCTTCAGAGCTACAGTTATGATGTTTACAAATGTTTGTCTGTCATTAT